GTGCGGAGCGCCAGACTAACTACTAGGAGCTATACGAGTAGTACCTGCAGGGTAGAGTGAAAGACAATAAGAAGAGACTAGAACGAAAGAGTAAAAGACAATAATGAGAGACTAGGACGAAAGGGTATGGGTAGCGAGAAAGAACAATAGGAAGAGATTACAATAAAAGCAAATCTTCGGAATCCCGAACGGCGGAATGGAGGCCCGCGGCATGGACTTGACAGAGCCCTGGCAAGCGAGAAGCGTTCGGATTGAACTCTCCTCGGGACAAGGCAGAAACACAAGCTTGAGCCGGAATTGAAGGCTACAAAGCACAATTAAATTGATTAAATGAATATAAAAGAATAAAGATCTTACATCACGAATGGAACGGTTAATTTGCAGTAAATCCTGCATCGTAAAGCTGGCCTTTTGGGTAGTCAAAATAACACCTAAATCGAGGAACTCGGGGTTCACATCGAATATAGGGTTTTGACGCTGCAAAGGCGCGCTATTCTATTCAAATTAATACGAATGAATTAGATTAAATAAGATAAGAATAAGTTGGAAACTCACTCGGGCGTGTTCAATCCGTTTGAAAGGAGTAAAGCCTTCCACCGAGTCTCCTGGCAATTTCAGACGACCCTGCTCATCGATGAGCAGGGCGGGACGGAAATTTGATGCTTTGGGAGGGGCGGGGGCGGATTTCGAAGATTTAAGACGTTTTGAGGGTGGAGGTACCACCTCCTCCTCTGTATCGGACTCTTCGACATCCAAGACCTCCATCTGACGTGCTTTTCCTTTTGCGGCCTGACGAAGGCGAGGGGGGAGACGAACACGTTTGATTTGATAAGAGGGTGTCGCCAATTCTTCTGACTCAGGGGACGCCCGGGATTCCTCTACCACTTTGACAGTGGTTTTGGACCGAGCTGTTGCTTTGGGTGTAGGAAGAGGCTTCTCCACCTTCTTCTTTGAAGAAGAAGCTTTGGGAGTATCAGAAAGATCTTCCTTGCGAGGAGTTTTAGTAGCGGAGCGATGATCCACTGGAAAACAAAGAAAGGATAAATTAAATAGAATTGAAGTGATAAAAAAATGATACGCACGAATTGATGAGGCATCAGCCATAAGGCTAGCCAATTCCCGTTTGCGTTTATTCTGTTTAGGAGGACCCACTGAATGATGATCTCCCGAAGGAGAAGGGGAATCCTCTACAGGAGAAAGATTGCGAGGACGAGGACCTTTTGTTGACGAACGAATTGATATAAAGGGATCTAGGTCCTTGGGAGGCACCAGACGCATCATGGCACTTCCCTCGCAGAAACGTAAACAGAAAGGAATAGAAATTGCCGGAAATCGTTCGAATTTCGAGGAATCCTATAAAACCGAATTAGGAGAAAAGGATATTAAAGGCGGAATGGCACACTTACCAAAACCTGAGATCGATGATCGGGGGGAATGCCCCATTGTTGTTCTAAATTATCACGAAGGAACACGGGAAGACCTTGGGATAAAAATGTAGCAGTCGCAAGGACGTGCTCCGTGAATAAAGGGCAATTGGCCCGACCAATCCAGGAATCATGAATATAAATCTAGATGGAAGGCATTTTAGTTGGATTGAAATAAGAGAGGAAATCCGTTTACGCACTAAAAACGGAGCAGCCTCCTCGAATACATCGTAAACCTCCAACGACTCTGTTGGAGGCGAATCGTCCGTTAAAACTTGCAACGTTCGGACTGCCATTTGGGCAGAACAGAACAAGTCTAGGCCAGAGGCCACAGACAATGGAAGTAAACTCTCGGGAGGAAAGCAAAAAGGGACCAAAGAACGAGGATACGAGAAAGCAGGAAGAGAACTAGGACCACTGTAATCGGGAGAGTTTGTGGAATCAATTACTGGAGGGGAATAATCGCCTTGTTGAAGTCGTTGAAACACAGCGCTTTCGAAGAAAAGAGGCAGAGTAGATTTAAACGAGAGACCCGCAAGCAACACTTGGGCCTCCATTAGAGAGCATGGTAGACGCGTGGAAGAGGCCGAAGCTCGAGTTTGACTCGAGGGCGAAGCCATTTTGACGAACGAGATGAAAGAAAGGAATAAAGAGGGAAAACGGACTTCAACGAAAAATTTCATTGAAACCCGTGCCCCGAACCAAATAAAGGTACACACTGAATCAGTGTGTACGTCAGAGCAGTTCTCCGTGAAATGGAAGCTTGTTCTGTGACTAGATGATAAAAGATTGTGAATTAAAAATTCGAAATGTGATAGGAATACCGAAAAAGTATTTAATTCAAATTGAGCGCTAAACTGTTACGATTCGTAGCAGGCATGTGAATAAATTGATAAGATGAGCGCTAGAAACCCATTTGAGGGCATCCAAATTGATTGGAGAGCATGGAGAAGTAGAGATCCAAACCCAGTGAATTACATTAAAAGGAGATATAGTCTTGTCGAATCAATCTAATAACAGATTGGGTATCCTTTCCCTATACAAAACTACGAATGACCGAGGACGGTCAAATTCTTTAGTTTGGGGGGGATGACACGCCTAAATTTTGGCTAGACGTCTATGCTGTGAATTGTGACATTTTCACGTATAGATTTGTATCAAGAGGACTGTAATTGAGACCCAGATTGACAGTCAAAGTCAATACTGAATCAGTCTAATAAGTTAAAGGGACCATATACCCATACTACCACAAGTTGGTCAGTTTACCCATCCCCGATACTACCTACGGATAGCAGTCTACCTGTTCGTCAAGCAGGATTATACCAGACTCGGACTACATCCGAAGGATGACCATTCACGTATGACATACCAAGGGTATTCTTATTGGACCTTACACTGGCAGGAGTTTGGAAGAACTTACTCAAGTGACCATGAACCGAGGATTGACTCGAAATGACTTTCTAGAACTCAGGAATTATCAAATACTCCTTCTAGAACGAGATCATGCATTAATCTAAAAGACTGCGGTTTAGTCTAATAGACCAATCGAGTTGCATGGTTGAGGAAAATGACTAGAAGAACGATCGAAGTACTGCGAGGCTCCGAAGGCATATCAAATGAATGTCAAAGAGACCTGACGTAGAAAATATTGAAGAATGCAATTAAATGAATACTATGCGTAACTCCCTTGAAAGAGTATAGGCACAATGGGTGTCTATTGAAAGAGAGAAGCAATTAGTTTAATCCAGATGAATCAGATTGATAGGATTAGAATCGAGGAGAGCTGATTTGCCTCCAGACGAGGTGACAAATGATCGAAGTAAGTGTTGAACAGCAATGACAGTTGAACACCATTCGAGTCATCCTCCAAAACAATTAAATTAAATGAATATTGAAGTACCTACCTATGTTTGGAGGTATACTAGAATCTTGGAACCAATATGGACCAAATAAGGACATGTAGATTGAAATTAAATGGTATCTGACTGAGTGTAGAAGTTTCCTTGCGGTTCCAAACGTTTATTGTATTAAATTAATTGTACTATGCGACTCTATATTCTGTATGTATAAATAGCGATCCGATGTATCTGGAATACAAGTGATTTTGGGACGATGTTGCAGTGCTAATCCGTAAAAAGGAAAGACACACTCCCGCCAGACTGAAACCTCTTCGCTAGCAGCCATTCGGGCCCGGCACTTGTGAGTATAGGAACGTCGTGTTCTGCTCCTTGTGACTGCGAGAAGTCTATCCAGTTGTTGGGTATTCTTCGAACTTAGGATCAGTCGTTGGTCTTAAGGGCAAATCACGCTGTGTGGTTGTGCCAGCACATAGTTCTAGCCCTCCGTAGGGGTCTGTGTGTTTCGGTTTTAATTTACTTTGATTCAAAACCCCAATTCTTGATATACCCAAATCAATACAAACCAAAGCACAAATCGTGCTAAATCTACCTTGATCAAAGGAATATATCGAATCCTTAGAACGATTCAAATTGATTGATCAAAGCTTCTTACTTAGCTCTCAAAGCTTTGCGGAACCTTTGCCAACGCTACCCCTTGCTATTAAATAAATTTGATAGCAGTGAACTCGCATATTGTGTATTAGATTGGTTGGTTGGAGTGCCCATTAGATTCCTTCCTTTCTCTTTCACACAAAAACGAGGCAAGCTCGTTACCGAGGCATGGACTTGACAGTACCCTTGTAGCCCTTTTGATTCAACTGCGAGACTAACTTCTCTCTTGTACGGCCACCAGTTATCCTCCCCCTTGAGTGCTAAACCCGTGGGGAATCGTTGGACATTCGGCATGTTTGATGACGATGACATCGTGGTTCAGGGGCTCTGTATGGGTGTAAGTTCATTTTGTGTTGCTCTTCTAGATAACCAGTCTCATAATCTGTCAGGTGGTAAATACTCAGTTGGATGTAAAAACAACTCTATTAGGTACCTGTCAGGTGGTAAATACTATATGTGTTGTAAGTATGCTATGTGTAAGTGGGTAGGATGGGGCTCACCTCAGTTGGATGTAAAAACAACTGAGGGAGCCTTTGTCCGCCGTTCGCAGGTGGCTGATAAACTGTATAGTATTGTGTATGTAATCGAGCGGAAACAGAATGTGGACTGTGCGTACGCCGGGCGGAGGGAGTCTAACATCCTGCAGTGCACAATATACTTTTCCTCCAAAACTCCTGCAAACTCTGAAGGACGTTCCCAATTGGAACTGAAACGAGATCAACCATTCTCTCCTGCCCGTCTAGAATCTCTTTGCACTTGTTGGAAATAAAAATGTCAGAGAACCCCTCATCCCGAGCTTTCTGCTGTTCTTTGCTCAGAGAAGGCCCTGAAACTAGCCATTTTGTCATGAGAAGGTAGACGAAAACCCACAACGCTGATTCAAAATCATGTATGTAGTGATACCGAAATGGAAAGGATGGCACGCGCTCAGAATGGGGGGTTGAATTGCTGGCTGAAGAGTATTCCAAGTCATTGAACGTGGCGTTCCCATTTTTGACCTACACATTCGCAGCGCTGATGTCGCGATGAACAAAGCCAGCAGAATGCATATACGAAAGAGCTAGGACTATTGTTTAAAATTACTTCCAGAAGATGATAAACAAGCTTTACCAATAATTAGCGATTCTAATGCCTTCAAAACAATATTCCAGTCCATCATCTGATCCAGCGGTTCTCCTGCATACTCCGATAGTTGTCGACAATGGACTTTGGGTGCATAGGTCCTACGGTCGAGTCTCGCGAGATGGACAGCCGTAGCTTCACGGAGGACAGTTTCTTGACGCCGTTGGCGTTCCGGCCCAGATTCCATCATAATTGAGGCTGGGATGCTCACACTCATTACCCATTGGTAAGTAGAGGATTGTATTGAGACTGTGAAACACTTGACGTCGGAAGGAATAGTTTGTCCCTGAAGGAAATTCGAGTTGGAGTCAGGAGTATGTCCCTTCTCAGTTGTAGAGGGTACCGGAACTTTCTCGCAGGCTTCAACCTTGACACAATATCTATTGAAAGCGCTCCGGTCTAGGTTTGGGACGGCGTTAACCTTCTGAATATCAGCTTCGATAGCTAAATGAATTTCTAGTTCCGTGCAGGAGTTCTTAGGTAGCCAATAGTCTTTGATCACCTTGACCTCGCTATCAAGGTCTCCTTCGTTATTAAGAACCTGCTGAACTTTGAATATACGAGTGGCGCACTCGAGCAAAAATTTCGCCTTTCTAATGGTGATACTCGGTGACACGCCTAAATTTTGGCTAGACGTCTATGCTGTGAATTGTGACATTTTCACGTATAGATTTGTATCAAGAGGACTGTAATTGAGACCCAGATTGACAGTCAAAGTCAATACTGAATCAGTCTAATAAGTTGAAGGGACCATATACCCATACTACCACAAGTTGGTCAGTTTACCCATCCCCGATACTACCTACGGATAGCAGTCTACCTGTTTGTCAAGCAGGATTATACCAGACTCGGACTACATCCGAAGGATGACCATTCACGTATGACATACCAAGGGTATTCTTATTGGACCTTACACTGGCAGGAGTTTGGAAGAACTTACTCAAGTGACCATGAACCGAGGATTGACTCGAAATGACTTTCTAGAACTCAGGAATTATCAAATACTCCTTCTAGAACAAGATCAGGATTAATCTAAAAGACTGCGATTTAGTCTAATAGACCAATCAAGTTGCATGGTTAAGGAAAATGACTAGAAGAACGATCGAAGTACTGCGAGGCTCCGAAGACATATCAAATGGATGTCAAAGAGACCTGACGTAGAAAACATTGAAGAATGCAATTAAATGAATACTATGCGTAACTCCCTTGATAGAGTATAGGCACAATGGGTGTCTGTTGAAAGAGAGAAGCAATTAGTTTAATCCAGATGAATCAGATTGATAGGATTAGAATCGAGGAGAGCTGATTTGCCTCCGGACGAGATGACAAACGATCGAAGTAAGTGTTGAACCGCAATGACAGTTGAACACCATTCGAGTCATTCTCTAAAAACAATTAAATTAAATGAATATTGAAGTACCTACCTATGTTTGGAGGTATACTAGAATCTTGGAACCAATATGGACCAAATAAGGACATGTAGATTCAAATTAAATGGTATCTGACTGAGTGTAGAAGTTTCCTTGCGGTTCCGAACGTTTATTGTATTAAATTGATTGTACTATGCGCCTCTATATTCTGTATGTATAAATAGCGATCCGATGTATCTGGAATAAAAAGTGATTTTGGGACGACGTTGCAGTGCTAATCCGTAAAAAGGAAAGACACACTCCCGCCAGACTGAAACCTCTTCGCTAGCAGCCATTCGGGCCCGGCACTTGTGAGTATAGGAACGTTGTGTTCTGCTCCTTGTGACTGCGAGAAGTATATCCAGTTGTTGGGTATTCTTCGAACTTAGGATCAGTCGTTGGTCTTAAGGGCAAATCACGCTGTGTGGTTGTGCCAGCACATAGTTTTAGCCCTCCGTAGGGGTCTGTGTGTTTCGGTTTTAATTTACTTTGATTCAAACCCCCAATTCTTGATATACCCAAATCAATACAAACCAAAGCACAAATCGTGCTGAATCTACCTTGATCAAAGGAATACATCGAATCCTTAGAACGATTCAAATTGATTGATCGAAGCTTCGTACTTAGCTCTCAAAGCTTTGCGGAACCTTTGCCAACGCTACCCCTTGCTATTAAATAAATTTGATAGCAGTGAACTCGCATATTGTGTATTAGATTGGTTGGTTGGAGTGCCCATTAGATTCCTTCCTTTCTCTTTCACACAAAAACGAGGCAAGCTCGTTATCTGGAGCCCACCGCGAGGGGTGGTTTTGAAGCTACAATTAGCTTGATAAATTAAATCGAACGTTTGTTTGGATTATATTCGATTATTTGGTAGAAGTGTGTTGATCTTTGTGATACCATTTCTGTGAACTGTCAACATTAGTTCATCAGGAAAACCGCGTACTTCGAAGAATTCGGAGAAAGCAGGAGTATTGACACCGGAAGAATATCGTAAAGCAGGAGTTGTATTTGGGAGATCTACGTTCGGCACATCAGCTCGAACATCCCTATTAAATCCTACGAACGAATCCAGTCGTCCATCCTCTTCTCAAATACCGACAGAAGAATCGCGTGGAAGTTCTGTTTCTAGAGGAACAGGATCATCTATATCTCGAGGAAGACTTACATCTTTGCCGAGGAATTTGAAGAAATCTAATCTCGATCCGAAAAGAAAGAGAAAAGAAATTAATCCGATTGATATTGAAGAAGATATAATTGAATTGATTGCTCCAGAGTCAATTTCAACATCTTCTACGTCGATTGAATCAACTAGATTGATAGATACGTTACATCAGACTATCTCTCAAACCAGTAACACGATTCAACCAGTCAAAATGACTACCAATAATTATGGAATGCCTGCGTTGTCAGCTGAAGCTAAGGCTGAGATTGATAAAGCCAGTGCGAAACTTCCAAGAAAGTATAAGACAGCACCATTATTTGATATAACTGATCCAAGTCAAATGATACCATGGTTCGAAGCTACTGAAAGCATATTTGAACATGGAGGGATTACATCTGACGAGGCTAAAGTAAGATTAGCTTTAGAATGGACGTCTTATAAAACGAGACAAGCATTAAGAGTCTTTGATTCGGTGAAGAAACCGAATTGGGATCAATTTAAAAAGGATCTAAAGAATATGTTTCCGCAATCTGTAGGAGACGAAAGAGGATCTAGATTATTGCTTGAACAATTGGTCCATCAATTTAATCCAATTGATGCAGGTGAACAGGAGAAGATGAGAATCTTCAGACTCCTCTTCGATGCTGAAATGAAAAAGCTGATGGATGAACCGAAAATGATCACAAACAGTGATGCAGTAAGATTGTTCTTGGCACCTATGACTCCCGAAGTAAGGAGAGGCGTGCTAGAAACAGTTGTGAAAGATGTATCAGTTACTTCTATGTCAGATAGACGAAAGGAAGACCCTTTCAAGATTGACGAAGTAATGAATGCGGCCGAGAAGTATATGATTGGGAGTTCATTTGATAACTACTATCAAACACTTTCCATTGCTTCTTCGAGCCCACCAATTAATAACCCTAATTCGTTTAGTAGGGGACACATTAATTTACCGTTTGCTGCAGATGTTCCCAAGACAGATAGGAATTATCTTCAGGTATTGAAACCCAAAGTAGAAGACGAATTTAAGGATCTTCTGGGAATTAAATTAGAAAGTTTGATCCCAAGGGAATTGACAGAAGAACAACAGCAAATGGTTGCGTTGAATAAAGACCTCATGGAGGCGAATATGAAAGAAATTAGAGCTGTGAAGTCATTACAGTCGCACTTCAAAGAAGGAGCAGACATTATGACGCAGTTAACAGCAGTAATGGCACAGATGGCCAAAGAAAATGCTAAAGGAATGATTAATTCGATACCACCGAGTGGTCCCTCGAATCAATCTAATAGATTTGAAAGAAATACGACACCGAAAAGTTCGAATGGAACTCAGTGGGCATGTTTCTTGTGCAAGTCGACAGATCATTTTATGAATGAATGTCCACACTTGCTGGAATTTACGAAAAGAGGTTGGATGATGCCTGAAGGAGGTGACTCGAAGCGTTACAAATTAAGGGACAACGCTAGAATGCCTCGAGATGATCCAAATGTACCTCGTTACAAGAAAATTGAACAAATGGCGAAAGACTTGGGATGGGATCGTGCTGAATCCTATTTTGCAAACATGGAAGATGACGAAGATGATAAAGTCATGGACCAGCAGATGAATCCTAACGTCAATCTAGCTGTTTGGATGACAAGAATAGAGGAACTATCAGATAGACTTGGGAATTTAGAAGCACACCGAGAAGATGATGTCCGTGTGTTCAACCAAGATAGTTCAAATGGAAAAAAATAAGTACTCCAATGAAGGAGCAGGATCGGTCCATGAGAACTTTAAGATCCAATGCTGTAGCTCCGGAGGAAAGTGAGAAAGCAAAACGAAATCAATTTAATGAAAATACGAAAAGATTAGTATTTGATGGGGTGCATATACCCAAGAAACCAGGTTTAATACCAGGGAAATTGGTTGAAACGACCAATGGAAATCAGAAAACAGTGAGATTTGAGGCTCCAAAGTCCATAGATCGGCCTTTGAAGAAGCCTTCAGTCACGATTGAAGATGTTAATGAATCTGATGACGAGGATGCTATTAAATTAATTCCTTCGTCAAGACCAACGAATCAAATTAATAGCGAACATAGACCGTATGATCATGTTCAACCTAGGACGTATCGTCCTATTCAAATTAATACGCCTACGAAGGTACCAAGAGACCAGACGAATCAAATTGATAGTCATGGATATACTCCAGCCTATAAAATTAGGAATGAAGTCTCGAGACCAGGTGTAGAAGAAGATATAGCAAAGAAGATATTCGATGCTAAAGTTGATTTGAGTACAGAAGAATTAGCAGCTTTATCACCTGCTATCAGAAAAATTATTATGCGCAAGATACGCAATAGGAGAGTCCGACCAAGGACTAAAACGAATAACTACGTATCAACTTTATCCGAAGATGGAGAAACTGAAATTTTGGACGATCCGTCTAGGGTACAGATGATTGATACATGCATTAGAATTGAAGATCTTTGGCAGGATCAGACGGATATGTTTGAAGTCCTGACTGAAAGTCGTAATGACATTCCTGTGGGATCTATAGTGCAGAAAGACATTGTGGAAAGTTTTCTACGAGACCTTTCCATTGATGATGAACGAAGGAACATTGCCATAGTTGCTAATCAAAGCGTGGCATATGAAGACCATAGTGATCATCCAGTGGTAGTAGCGAATCAATCAAATGGATTACGTGCTGTTACTCCTGAAATCAATAATAAAGATGAAGAGATTGAAAGTGTATTGGACCAAGGTTCACAGATTGTTGTGATAGACCGATTGATAGCTATAGGTCTAGGAATTACTTGGGATCCAGAATTCACGATCAGAATGCAAGATGCAAGTGGAAAATTAAACCAAACTCTTGGTTTAGCAAGAAATATTCCATTTAAATTTGGTGAAGTTACGGTGTACTTACAACTACACGTACAAAATAAAGCACCATTTCAAGTGTTATTAGGGAGACCTTTTGACGTCTTGGTGGAAAGT